ACTATAAATGAAATTAGAGGTTATTAACTTGTAAAGGCCAACGTATGGCCTAAACTCGCTTAATGAGAATCAAAGTTACGACAGAAAGTTAATTTTACATTTTCAAAAAAATCTCACATTGCAGAAATTCTATACTCCACCCTCCAAACATAGACAAAGCAAAATATGTATGAGATTAAAACACTAACTTTTGGGAGAGGTAGCTATTCTCTTCATTCCCGAAGAATTTGTAACGGCTATCATTAATTTTGAAAATTTCTGAAAAGACGCTTATAAAATTATTTTTGAAAGAACAGTTTATCATTTTTTAGCCCAAAGCAAAGCGTTTTCCTTTTTTTGATGCTAATGGGCAATTTTCATGTCTAACGTTACAAGAAACTGCTCAAGCCGGCAATCAATTTACAGCCTCCGCATTTTGCTGTCACTACACATCTTCCTTTGAGATAGAATTTTTGACCACACACATCTCAGCCGCAACCGATTATAATGCTTCTAGAGATCTGAAAATAATTTTTAAACATGAAAACTTTGGAAAACGTCTTTCAAATCATAAATTAAGCAATAATTCAATCGGATGATTAGAATACATAAAGACTATCGAAAATTTCAACAAAGCAGTCAAAATGTGTGAAAATTTTCATAGTCATGCACTGTAATTTTTAAATAATGGGAAAATAATATCTGACAAGATTTCCTTTTTGTATTTTAAAAATAGATTCTCATTATTATTCGATCGTATAATATCCATAGTATTTTGCTTTAGCTGTTTCCACCTGAATTCTGCAAGGTTTGCAATTTAAGACATCGAAGGGATGCAGTTATTCTAATTTAGAACATAAATCATGTCCTGTTATATAAGATGATAAAGGATGAAAAAAATCAAATACGTAAACACGATCATGCTTCGGAAATTGACAAATAAAGAATTGAAAGACTATACCAGAAGTAATATTTATTACCCAATTGGCTTGATGTCGCTATTCAGCTAGCTTTTGTCTTCTAGTATTAGCTTTTACTCACAGCCGATCCGCCAAACAAAGTTCAAGCAGAAAACAATAAGAATTTTTCCCATTAAAATTCACGTCTTAATTTGTTTAACGGACTAATTTTTAAAATCAGAACCCATAATTAACCGATACGAAAAAAGTGAAGCTCTAACTGTAATCCATATTGTGATACATGCATTTTACTTCTCGCTCTTTAGATAGTCCGCCGCTTATCTTTCTATATACGTATTATATAGAAATCTTCCTTTCAATATATCTTATCTTTCTGTACATGCACAAGCTTCATTCATCTAAATTATCCTTACAAATATACGCAAGCTAAAAATGTGTAAATCCAAATAAATCAAAATTCTAATTTAAATTTCCAATAGTCCGTTAAGTCTTCATTTTAATTTGGGTATTTTCCCTTTATATTTCAAAAATGGTAATTGCTTATAATAAATGTTTCTGGGAAGCATTATTTCCTTATCCTTCATTATGGAGCAACATCTACGCGATCAACTTTTCTACATTATTACACATACACACACACACACACACACACACACATGTACATATACTACATATAAAGAAAGTATACAAAATACAACTTGTTAAAAGTATACAATAATCATTCAATCTGCGCAAATTTCAGAAACAAACCATTCAAGCGGACAAAAAATATGTTAAGTTAATCTAGTCCCTGGGATTATCAAAGGTCTAATGACAGGAGAACTAATTTTGGTTCGGTCCAACTTCTTTTGGAAAATACAAAAAATCATTTCCTCGTAGCACAAACGATTTTAGATGTTCCATTTGCAAGCATTTATCAATCTCATTTAGTTGGAATTAATCTCCTGAAGAATATAGGTGTTTTTCTTCGTGTTCATAAAATTAGTAAAAATGCATTATATTTTAAATTCCAAAGTTCCATTACAATTAAATTCTATTTGAAAATAATAATAATAATTGTAAATAGCTTAAAAGAATTATTAAGCTAGTTAACTATTAAACTGTGCATTTTATTTAGAGAATTTTATGAAGCGCTTGAATCGTGAAGGACAGCAAAATAATTTTGATGATTGAGATAGAAGAGGCGGGAAAAGTGAAATCTAGCTAACTTACGGAAATCCTTCATTACTTATTCGAAGATGAAAGTTATTTGCTCCCTGACAAAACATTATTTCAAGCGCAATCAGTGCCATTGCTTTGTTCTTCATCCGTTGAGTTCAGTGGGTTTTTTCGATTATAATTGGCAAACAACAATAGCCCAGAGGAGAATCGATGCAAAAACCGGGTCAAGGTCCAACGACAAACGACTCGCTTGACCTTCGGCAACATATCAGCCCAAATGGATACGAAGTGTTTTGTTTTTATTCACGTTCTAATTGATGGAGTTGTTGATTTTTCCTTTTGTGAAAAGGAATACAAAAGTTCTCATTTCAGTCTAAAAGAATTTTTAAAAGCTGCAAATTTTACAGAATAAAACTTGTTTCTTATGTAAAGTATACTTGGATTTTGCTCAACTTGATTATTTGACATTATCAAATATGAAAATCAGAGCGTGAAAGTTGAGAAAAGAGGCAGATTCATTATTATTCATTATAATACTTATTTCTAAAAGAAACTGCATTTATCATAAGAATTTAATAAACAAATAGGATTATAAAATGAAACCTATTTGCAAAACTGGTTTTTGAATATTAATGGTGAACTACAGTCAGGGCTTAAATTCAGGCATAACCCAGCTCCGATACTTCTCAGACTTTGAATATAAGTAATTCCAGCCGGAGTCTCAAATAAGATGATTTAACTACGCACTTCAGCTTTTCTCTCTACTGTGCTAAGATGTAATTTCGCCGGTTTGCTTTCTATCTCAACAATATCAAGAATGTAAATCTTCCGTGGAAAGGCACGACTAGAGTGCCAAGTGAATTGTGGCCACAAGTATCAATTGCAAATAAAAATGGAATTAAAACTGCCTCGACTGCCAAGTTCTTTAGATATTACCAAGTTAGCATTATTAGCATATTACGCAATCGAAATTCTTCTTCAATATGGATCTAAGCAAGCATCGACACTGCTCAGACTTTTCCTTATGCTTTTATTATTCCATACATATATACAGCCTTTGAGAAAATTTGAATCTCGCTTTTAATATTTTTAATGCAGAAGTAACAACTTCGATAAATTTCTGATTGTGTTCACTTAGGTATATGTCATTGAACGTATGAGAATTTTCCAATCTTATAACGTTTTACAGCACCGAGTGCAACCATGTATCAACAGATTTATTAACGAGATGTTGTGATAATTTGTTAACAGTGCACTTTGCCAATGATATTGATTCTTAGTGAGGGTAACTTGTAAATGAATATCACTAAAAACACGTCACTTTACCCATTGGTTCGATTGACGCTTAAGTAATTAGTTCTTCTTCATTCGAGTTCATCTAATCTTGATGAACTTGAATGTTCTTATTAATTGATCTAAATAACCTATTCCAAGCTTTCTCAACGGGAGAATTTCATAGTTTCAGAGGGAAGAATGCAGTCAAAATGTATTTAGCTGTTAAGTATTTGGTTTTGACTTAAGAAAACAAAAAATTACATTTATTCAAATTTGGTCAAGCCAAATGTGCGCAGGAATGCGCAGTTAATGCCACAACCCGACGTACAAGTATTGAATTCAAATTTGAAGTCATAAAGAAGACAAAGGTCCCAAGAAGGTTTCTTGGGTTAGAGCAAAGCAAGCGATTACTATATCAGCTCGAATAAAACTAGCAGTATTCAGAGGTCTTAATCACTCGGCCATTGGTAGCGCAACTTCATAAAAGAAACTGGCTCGTGTTATTACGCACGTTCCTCTTATATTAGAAAAGGCGAAGAGAAAAAACATGTGTGGCTTGGGCGCATTCAGCTGATCAGTGTTTATGTTTATAGAGTGTTAAATGTTACCATACTTTTTTTATATATTCGCTTTATTATTTATATTTAGTGTCTAAATGGCTGAAGATATTCGGATTTGGATTTGCTCCAGATATCTTCACTTGTATGAGCTGTTATTTCTTGAAGTTGTAAAAAAGATTCAAAATTTTTAGTGTCTTTTTTTCCTTCTTCTTCTGGGTTGTTTATTCACGAAGTTTATACGAACTGGTAACACATAAATATATTAACTCAGTATCCGAAAACACACGAAAATGTTTAATTTAAGTGAAAACATGTTTTAAGGTAATGTTTAATTTAATTATTATTTGTTTTGAAACTGTGGATGGCAACGATTTGTAAAGCAGTTTGAAACAGAACCCTAAGTTTTGAAACTTTTATTTTAGAAAGCACATTAAAATGTTATTTTTATATTTTAAAAATTGTGAATCTTAAGATTCCAATAACATAGTCAATAGGATGTTATAAGTCTTATTTTCATTATCTGATTATGATTGCATTCAAATGCCTTGATGTTAGTTTTAAGATTTTATGAGATTAATGAGTTTTAAGGCATGAGTTGCTTGCTTTTTAGTTATTATTTTCTTTAGTTATTACTTTTTGTTTACTTTAGATATTATTTCCAACTTTAGCAATGACACCAGTACCTTAGCAAAGTTTTACGCATTCGCTTATTCATTTCGTCAAAGAATAGAGAGCTCACTAGCAATTCTCACTAGGAAATTTCGAGAACTTTATGGTAGAAATCTGTAGAGTTTTTTTCCATATTTCAGAAATTTTGCAGCAACCTAATAATTTACATAGGTTATTGAGCACACATTTGAAAATTTATTTTGCAGGATTTAACAAATACAGGAGCTATTCCCTGTATTATATTACTAACTAATGTTATTGCTTTAACCAAAATGCAGTATATAAAAGAATTTAAAATAATGTGTTCTTTCCTATTTTCATAGATGTACAAAACGTTTTAAGTATTAGAAATTTTAGATTCCATTAAGCTCTCTAGATGAAATATAACAACTATAAAAATATTAACTGAAAAAGAAATAGTAGACAATCAACTTACCTTATTTCCTGCATGACGAGTAGTTCATTATAATCTTGATTTCCTATTTGCAAGGCATTTGGATTCAGTGGCTGATCTGAGGTCTTGTAACGACTGAATAAGCGCTTGATAGTCGGCAATGCTGCATTCAAACTGTCTAGTTTCATAAAAGGTAGGAATAATATCCTAATTGCAATTCAATTTTATGCATACTTTTGAATTTCTTCACATAATTTTTGAAGTAAGTGATATTTCCTACAATGCATAGCTAGGATTTTGTTTTCGTATTCTACTTGGAATTAGATCTGAGGACGATTGCATTTTAGTTACTTCTGAGTGTTATAAATTCTTCAGCACATTCCAGTAAAAAATGCACTTTATTTTATTTACTTTATTTTATTTACTTCTGAGTGTTATAAATTCTTCAGCACATTCCAGTAAAAAATGCACTTTATTTTATTTTATTTTATTTATTTATTTTTGAGCTTCCTTCTTGGCGATGCATACACGAGCCCGTAGTGAAATGTAGAAATCTGTAGATGAAAATGTCGTTCAAGATTAAATAGAAAAGTACATACTCCTGTTATAGTTCTTGCTAACTTATTTTCACTCCATCTTAAATGCGTATTTTCGGAATTTGCAAGTAAAATACTTCTTATCTAATGTTTTCGTCATGATATTAGCTTAAAAACTTCTCTAATCGTTTTGAGTTCTTGTGGTCAAATTTGAATTTTTTATAAGTTTCGGACAGTAAAATGAACTTTTTTAAACCAGGTAAATAAAAATGAAAAACAAATATATCAAGAATAGTAGGGAAAAACTGTTCCTTTCACTCTTATTTCGAAACAATCGCCTCTTATTTTTTTTTTCACTTTTTTCTTTGTGAAGTGCAAGACATTACATTGTAATTTCATAAAATATGAAGAACAATTAAAAGCATGATCCTTCATCTCCATCCAATTGTTCTGCAAGAAAATATTACTTGCTTTATAATACAGAAAATATCATTAACAGTCAGCGATTCGCATAATTATATGGCAATAACGAAAGGTTTTACTACAATGCATGTTATGTGAAATTCAACCTTTTGCAGTAAAAGTATTCTTAATATCTTAAAAGAAAATTCTCTTTAGTTATTTCCATAAATTTCGTAACTTCAATACATTAAGTAAATTAAGAAGTGAAATAAGACTGAATTCTCCATGGTCAATATAAATTTTTCTTCATTATAGTTATTTAAGTACAAAAATAAAAGAACACAATAGTTTTCAAACTCAAGTGTAGCAAACTATTAGAGGGGGAAATATCTTTTTAATGTGCTGCTTAAAATTAAAAAAAAAAGAAAGTATCTAAATAAGCAACACATAAGTTTGAGTTCTGAAACATTGTTATACAGCAGCGTGCCTCTTCATGTGTAAGGAAAGATGGTCTGACCTGGAAAAAGCACGTTCACATAGTCTACATTGGAAAGGTCTGTCACCCGTATGCTTTCGGTAATGCCGAGTGAGTTCATCAGATCTAGCAAACTTCCAGCCACAACCTTTCCAGTTGCATTGGTAAGGCTTTTCACCCGTGTGAGTCCTGAGATGAGCTTTCAGATGTGAACTTTTCGTGTAAGTCTTCGTGCATCCTGGATGTGAACAAGTGTGGACAGTCACCTTCTTCCTACCTGTGCTCCTGCGACCACGTCGGTGCTTTGTTGGCAAAGCTCCCATACCCGTCGGGAGTAGTTGGGAGGGCGGATGGTTGACTTGGGGTCTAGTCATACCATAAGGCATGGCACTAGTATTTCCGGCAGCCAAAAGGTCAGCCAGGTGTGGTGAAGATGGTGGTGTCATCATACGTAAGTGTGGAGGAGGACCTATACTGTTAGTCAAATTGTATGAATAATTTCCCATTGGTGTCATCCCTGGAGTTCTAGAGTTATGTCCAATTGTCGAATAATTGTCCATTGTTGTGGATGCTTGACTAAAACTGTGAATTCCAGAATTTTCAGGAGAAGCAGGAGGAGATATATGAGACTGAAGTGCGGACAATGTTCCATTATACGCTGCCCCATGACCATTATAAAGCATAGGAGCCACTGAATCGTGTTTACTGTCCGAAGGGTATCCTGAATGCATAGAATAAGTAGAGGTGAAGGTTGGGCATTCATTTCTGTTCATGCAATTGCTAACAATCTCTCTCTTGAAACCATTTCTGTAGGATCCAAATACGTAGCTGCTTGTGGGTCCAGTAGATGACTGGAATTTTGTTCCCGGCAGCGAAGTTGGTGGTGTCATGTATTGTTGCTGCGCATGTATCTGATGAGGATGATGGTATGAATACCCATTAGAAGTAGCACTTCCAGGATGAGATGATGGTTTTGAAAAAACATGAGAATTGCCATCAGCAGTGCTGTAATACATTTGACATCTGGATTCGGGAGCTCCTGATTCACCCAGAAGAACACTTTCAATATCTTGCCACATCTAGGAATAACAACAGATGTTTTTGAGTTTCGTACAAAATAATACATTATTAAATATTTTTCGCGCAAACTTGCAAATATCAAAAGTACCTTTGATATTTGCAAGTAATATTACAAAATGCAAGTAATACAAGTAATATTACAAAATGCTTTGATTTTAATATTACAAAAGATTAAAATACGTATGTAACATAAAAAGAAGTAACAAGTAATAAATAAGAAATAAGAATACGCTGATATGTGCAGTGTACTCATTAAATTTAGCTGTAAGGAATGTAAATAAAAATAAAATATAGCAAGTTATATAGCGCAAATTAGAAATATAATACATAAGCATAGTTTATTGCTTTTTCATTTTAAAGTTTCAGAAGGTTTTTTCATATATATTCAATCCATTCTTCTGAGAAGATTATACAAATCGATGAAGCATTGGGCTTCATTAAAAAAAAATATTAGCCAACAATATTTTTGGGTGTAATAATGATGCAATACTGCAAATAGAATTTTAGTACGTAGTATAATGTTGTTATAAAAATGACTCAATAAAATGTGCTTTGTAATACTTCTGAATGTTTGTTTGTTCAGAGGTACTTGTGAAGTATCATAAACAAGGTCTTAACGAAAAAAATGGCTAATATCCTAAATCCTTTAAAACTTTATAGTAGATAGGCTTATTAGTAGATAATGTTGTTCGGGAAAGGGGTAATCATTGTTTAATAAAATTGTAATGCAAGTTTCAAATAAAAATAATTTTTATTATATGTACTTATTCATCTTTATTTAATACATATCATATGAGATGAAATTTGGTTTAGTTTCGATATTAGGTTTACTTCTCCTGTATATTAATTCCATAAGTTTCAGGTGAGGACAAAAATTGTTTTAAGAAATGAATGGAGTTGATATAAATAGAGTATGGCAAAGCAAGTTTAATTATCAAGTATATAAGGAATCGGACATAGAAAAGTACTGAAACTGTCTGGTCTTATGGCTCGAAAACTGAAGAAAGAAGAATACTTTTATCCAAGCCAATAGGAAATCGGCTAAGAAAAAGAGCAAAACTCAAATGGATAAACTTTTGGTTGACTTTGTTAATAAAGGCTGTACTGTTTCAAACGATATGAAAAAAAAAAAAAAAAAAAAAAAACATTGTTGAAACCAACAGCAGACATATTAAGGAAACTAAATCGCACGGGGATGGACAATAATGCAATTCTTATACAAACAAGTTTGAAAATAATAAAAATGTAGTTTGCTTCGAATTTTAATACAGGACAACGTTTGTCTAGTATATGTCAAGAAAAATATCTATATTAGAAGGGTACCTGGTTATTTTCAATAAGTTCTATTCGAGTCTTTAGCCACTATATGAAAGGTATTGATACCGCGGCAGCTTTTTCTTATAAACAAATTATGAACATCAAATTAAAGCCATTACTTACACTATAAAACACAACATACTTTGTAATAGATGAATGCTCGTAATTTGAAATAAACATATTGAACTCAAACTCGGTAACTGACTGGATGTACAGAAAAACTGATTAACTGTTAGGTTTGTGTTACATCGAAAACTGGAGAGCTTTTCAGAAATTTCAATAAGTATTCTCAAAAATAACCAAACTTCTAAAAGCATTTCTCACTGATTTGTTGAGATATGTCTACACTTCTTTTGTCTTGGTTATTTGGTAAACAAATAAAAAGAGTAGATGCTTTCTTCTTATCTTTGGTCCGCTATTAGTCACGACTAATCGCTTAGCATCCAAAGAAGTACCCTTCTTGGAATCCGTGAATGATCCTCCTTTAAGATTACGAAGGTAAATGGAAGACATACTCATATAAAAAAAAAGAAGAAACAGTGGAGATAAAAATCAATCTGGACCTTCCTTAATGATAACTGTAGTATGTAATCAAGTTCCCATTACACCATCTTCCGCTGAACTAGTGACAGATGTCTGTTTAAGGGGACGTTCTCTCGTATGAAGACATCATAGCAATGATAGATTTTCATGGCCAGACCTCTTAATGAGACGACGTTCTCAATCTGCACTCCTGTGATTTGTGTTCTACACACCCAGGCACCCATAGCTATGGTATGGTGGTTAGACATTGCAATTAAAGGGGTGCATATCGCTTTGGATTTATTCTTCCCCTTTTCTATGAATAAGTCATACGTATTCTTTTTTTCAAATACAATATTCAATGAATTAAAATAACAGAAAAAGGTTACCCAGTAATAGTCAGGAATATGTTCATGGATAGAATTAATTTAGAGTACTAACGATGGCCAGCATTCGAATAAAGCAATTCATGTCTTTATTCTGAAGTATGCGCACCTCAAAAATGTGTGGGCTGAACACTAAAAGGAGACAGCTCCATTTTCTTTTCTTTTTTTTCTTTTTTTTTTTTTTTTAATTTAAGTGGTAGAATATGAATGAAGAAAGAAGGCAAAAAGCGAAATGGATAAATATTAATTGAAACTACTAACTGACGTAGATCTGCAAATGATAAAAGAAGTGAATGATAGATGATGTTGCTAAATCTTTCGACAAGAAACTGCGTGATGTGATTTCGGAATAAATACTGTCTTCTGAACGGGCAATTAAGATGAAAATAGGACTGCGTTATGAATGTGACTTTGTTTTCTATCTTCTTTTCCGTTCTTAAATTAAGTATATTAATCGTTTTATGAGATTTCTTGATCGCAGTCTTCAGTAAAAATCATTAGAATATTCCACATATTTTCTATAACCGATCATCTGATGGGTCAAAAAACGTTGCATTATCAGTACTATAAATGAACTGAAGATGATATTACCTAACTCGATGTTACCTAACTTGATGATGTAATTCTGAAATGAAGAAGATATCGTTCACTATTTAATTCTAGCAGAAATAAAACTTCCAAAAATTGCTACAAAGTTCTCGATCAGATAATTATATTGAAGAATTTGATTAAGGCTTAAGTAAAATTAAAAAAATTCTAATTAATTTCATTTATTAATATCTTTTACAATTAATTTCAGTGTTCAAAATCTTTGTAAATTATTTTGAATTCGTGTTTAGGTCGGCTTTAAAATTTCAGTAGGATTGCTACAAATTTTTGTCTTGTAGGGTAAGATTTACAGCATATTTTTTACATGGAAATATAACAATAGTTATTCAGTAGTTTTCAGAATACCTGTAGTCTGTCGTATTAGATTTCCGAGTGCAAGTGACAAATACATCATTGTTCTCATTGCCCCAAGTATAGAATATTTCAAAAGACAATGATAGTATGTAAACAACAATGACAGAAGCAATGCCAGAATCCGATTTCTTTAAGAGAATTCGGCAGTATAAGCTTATATATATGATATATTTATTATTATTATTATTATTACACATTACAGAAAAATATATTTCCTGATTCGAGATCTCCGAAGTTTTGTTTCTCTTTAAAATATGTTATAAATAAGAGTATTAAACAGTTGCGGAGTAAGAGCCATATAATATTTGTTGAGTTATTATATTTGTCGAAGCCAGAAACGTGAAAAATAAACAGTGACCACCCCGGGATTCAAACTTCTTAGCTCCGGAGTGCTAGCTGGACGTGCTTTCAATTGCACCACGAAGTTAAGAAGAAGAAAAATCTCTCACACGTCTATTTTATAAGTATTTCTGTTTCAAATGCCCACAAGCGGCTAAACGTTAAGAGTGCAAAACACTGATAGTTTGACTCGAGCTCAGATCCTGAAGAATGCGTTAGTTTTCTTCAAGAGTAACGTGACTATGAACTAGTTTCTCTTAGAAAGTCCCCCACAAAAGCCTTTCCTTAGACAGATAGCCCTCGCATGCTTTGCCATAATTTAAGTAATCATAATTTGTAATTCAAACGCATTGACAGTTCAATATTAAAATTTTCAGATTGACATTCATTCAAAGAATTATAATACATTGAAATAACCACTGAATAACTTACTCTTAAAATAAATTAAAAAGGAATATTTGAAAATTTTCAAAAAAGTTCAAAACTTCAGAATAAGTGATGACAACCCATTCTCTTTCTTTTATTTATTAGATTTTTCTATGACTCGTGCAGAAAAAGTAATATTTATATGTAATAACTACAACTTCTTTGTTTCTCACTACATCTTTCAGCTACGACACACCACGGCAATTCGGTGCTTATGAAATTTGTTATCTTGGAGGAAAAATTAGTGAAAAGTGTCTTCATAACAAATTGTAAATACCCATCGACAGTCTGGTTCTCTTGTTAAACTTATTAACTTTCAATGACGAAAAAAACTGTTCACGAAATGTGTTCGTAAACAAAGCGATTAGTCTTATTGCATAAATTCGTAAGAGAGGATATTTATCTTTTTAAATACTAATAAAATTACTCAAGTTTGTTTCTTTAAGTCCTTGAATAAAATTATGTTGCAGTGTAAATTAATTAGCTCCATTTCTAGATTTTCAGCAGAATTACGTTGTTTTTCGGTAATGAAAATAACGTAATAATTGGATTCCAAACTATTAAAATCTAAAATTTTTCATGAAATTCTCGTTATAATAAATCTAATTAATTTGCAGGAAATGTATTCGCGGGCCGCTAGTTTGAGGCCATGTTCTATAATACAATATCATTAAAGCCAACATTAGCAGTTTGCTGCACATAAAAACTTGCAAATGAGAAAAACTATTTTAATAATTACGAGTTAAATGATTAAAAAATTTCATAAATTCTCGCTGTTAAAGTGATTAAAAAAGTATGGTATATATTTCCGGAATATAAAGTTCAATAATATGGAATTTCACTTTTTATATAAAAAAACTAAACATTTTTTCCCCCAGATGAGTCGCGTTAAAATTTTTTACTTAACTTTTCCCTCCTCACAAATTTCTTCGTAGCAGACAAGCAAAAAAAAAAAAAAAAAAAAAAAATTAATTCTGCTTCTGAAATTTAAAATTTTTCCGGTAAAAACATTTAGCTACTTTTTAGTTTAATATTACGCACTCTTT